CGTCCTCAAAAAGGTGTTCCGGTAAACACAAGCGGCGAACGCATGAAAGTTGAGTCCAAATTGGGAAGACCTATATAGAGTTAAAGGCATTGCTGGAAAAGGAGCGTACAAATTGGAAACTATGGACGACAAGATATCACCATCTTATTGGAATGCAGTCCATTTAAAGAAGTACTGCTTCTAAAAGAAGTTAATACCCATGGTCAGGTATCACGAAAGTTCAATTTTACTTTGTTCATTTAAGTTTTACTAACCATTTTAGATTATAGACAAAAAGCTAGCCCGTACCTCATAATGATATTAGACCGGAAAGACACGCGAAATACTTAATTCTCAGTCTAAGTTACAATATTTCTAATGGCAAAGTGTTAAGCAGTCATTATCTAAAGGATTACCTCTGAGTCCCGTATGTATTTCCTTTTTTAGAAAAAGTACCAAAAGTAAGGAGCTGATCCAGTGTTCGAGATATCTTGCTTTAATGCTCGAACACTAGGAGGGGACTATGCGTATGGAAGAATACACAAGGAAAGATGACGTACACCACAAAAGCATAGTTTAGCCAAAGTTAAAATCTTGAAGAAGCCCTTGAAGACAATGTTAAAATTTCAAAGGCATTCAGGCTCGCGAAAAGAATGGGCAGTAGAGAGTTAAAAAACCTACAAAATACTCACACGAGTTTCTAGGTTAAGGCCATAAATTTAATCACGGAAAAATGTACCCGTATTTGTAAACCTATTACAAAGAAATCAATTATGAAAATGTTGTACAAGGTAATTTATTTGAAAGTTCAAAAAATAAAACTTCTTCAAATTACTTCATGTTTCATATCTTTGCACCAATACGAAGATGAGACGACATCTTCATTAGTGTTGTTAATATAAAAGGGCCCTTTTTTATAAAAGACTCGTACATATTGAAGGCACAGTTTAGTAAAGCATTTTTAATGCAAGTATAGCTCAAAAACTTAAAAAGCAAAAAACATAAGATGTAGCAAAAAGATATTTATATCATTGCCCCATAAACATGAATGGGAAAGTCTCCTAGAAACTACCCAAAAAAAGTAAGTTTAAAAAAAAAAATAGAACATAGTAAAATCACTTTCACAAAAGCCAAGGGAAAAAGTAAAGGGCATCATCCACGGGAAAAAAAGGATCAACTTGAGAAGACAAAGATTGAATATCAGCTTCACCAGGAGTAAGTCCATCTTCGTCACCTTTGGAACCTTCATCCTCGGGTGTTGAAAAGCTTTGGCGTTGCCGAGTTTGTTCAATCGCTTCTTTAGGCTTTGCGATTTCAGCATTAAGGTCAAAACCCTCCAGGCTAGCTTCAGTTAAAGTCTCAAAGCGTGTGTTCAGGAAAGCCAACTAACATCAAATGTCAACTTGTCTTCAAGGGCCTCATAATCCTTTTTCCGCTGCTCAATTTCAACCCTCAACTATTCTTTCTATGTTTCAGAAACTTCATAAGATGCCTTCAAAGGGGTAAGAGAACTCTCACAAAACTTAATCTTGTTCGATGAGGCACTGAGGTCTTCTTGAGCTTGGGTGAGCATATGCACCAAATCACTCGCGTACACCTCTTTATGGTTAAGAAGCTCTTTCAAACTTCCTATTTCTTCAGTTGCCTTTGAGTGCTGCTCAACAAAGGAGGATTCCAATATGTCCTTGTCTTTTTCGACTTGATTGGAGGAAGCTTTCAAAACTGCTAGTTCGGCGGTGGTTATCTGTAGTTGTTGCTCCTTTCAATTATCAACCTCGATGCGCAATTCGATCACCTAGTGTTCTGTCCAAGAAATCCTTCTCATAAGCTTCGTACCTATCAAATTGATCTATAAAAAGACAAGGAAAGTGGGTTACAAACATGAAAGAAAGGGAAGGAAAATAGAAAGAGTAAATATATACCTTGAGGGAGAAATGTATAATGTCATTCATCATAGTCAAAGAACTATGGGACTGAAGCTTCTTCTTCTTCTTCTCCACGGGACCAATTAATGGTTTTAACCATACAACGGCCTGACTAGGCTTCTTCAACAAATTTACACCATCAGGACTTTAATTAAAACCTTTTTTCATGCCCCGTCTAATGGTAGAAGGCTCAACTTCTTCACGAGAGGCAGCAACATGGACAGTAACTGGGGAAACAGAATGATTGGCAATAGAGGTGACTGAAGTCATCGGAAGAGAGTTAAGTGAGGTCTCTTCTAAAACAGGACCAAATTCTTCTTTACCCTCAAATCCATGGGCAAAGAGTCTATCAATGGGACTTGAGGGGGGTTATCAAGGTTACTAGCATCTTCATCAGATATGTCCAAGTGGACACTCTTTGGCTCATCATTAAGGCTAAAAGGAACTGAACTTAGAGGGGGTCTTGAGAGACATGAGCTTCATCATCTGAAACCACGCGCCTTCTGATTCGTGGTTTCTTCACTAAAGAACCTTCTTTGGTGTCCTCTTCATCTTTAGAGCCATGAGCTTCAACATTCTTCCTCTTGGAGGAAGACACACTCAAGATCTGTTCCCGTACCGAGCTCACCGAGAGCCTAACAGAAAGAACAGAAGCAGGACTGATGCCACAAATGGCAAACCCTGAAAAACACAAAAACAAATATGTCAAAAGAAAAGAAAAGGATGAACAAAGGGAAGAAGAACTACATGAATAAAAATTTACCAAAGGTCTTCACTTTCCATCTAAATTTTTGCGACAGAAACTTCCAAGATCTCTTGTCCACAGGAGATGCAATCAACATCTTTTCTACCCAATTCGGAAGTCAGGAATTTCAGCAAAGATTTCCATGGTTGCTGAAAACATACACTTATGTGAATAAAATTAAAGTATCAAGGAATGCAAATAAACAAAAGGAAAAAATACTTACGTGCAAAGTTCCACATCTCAGGAAAGGGCACATTCTCATCACCCACTAACTCATGAGTGGGGACCACAACAAATCGAGCGTACCAGTCACAATCACGATCATCCTCAGGGCTGACTAAAATTCTCTTACTTCTAGCCACGAGGGAAAACACACATTCGCGAAAAAGTAAACGGGGCAGAAACTAAGCCTGACAAGTAACGAATGCAAGCAATGGCCCTCCACATGATAGGACCTATTTGACCAAGACAAACATTGAAATAACGACAAAATTCAATGATCACGGGATCAATAGTAAGAGTAAACCCTAAGGTAAGTGGGTAGGTATAAACAAAGAAATACCCTTTGTGGTAAGAAATAATTCTGTCATCGACACTATGAGCCATTATTGGAAAATCAGGTTTCTAGTGGCACTCACGTCGGACCAAGGAAATGAGTCCTAGAGTAGTTAAACTGGGTTAACGTTTAACAGGGTTCAGAGAAACTATGGAGAAAACATGTTTCCGCGTAGCTTCACGGTCTGATGCAAAAAGAAAATTCTTGTGGGACAATCTCAGAAACAGTGTGTTCTCGCACGGGTTCGTTATGGTTTCTCCCTTTAGAGGAAGATCTAGGAGTTAAGGAATATTTAGCCTTAGAGGAAGAGGGTTTAACAATAGTACTTTGAGGAGTAGAACTACGAGTGGACAACGAACCTAAACTGCATAATTTGCCACGTCTCCTACCCCTAGTAGAGGCAGTAGAGGGATGGAGCTCGTCAACGATCACCACCTTACGAGGGTCTGGTAATGAAGAAAGGTTTGATGAATGAGAATACATCTTTAATGATAGAAATACAGGAAAAAGAAGAACTACAAGCGAAGTTAGAGATATAAGTGCAAGGAAGAAGAAAGGAATTTTCAAAATTGAGCGTGATGAGGTATTTATAGAAGGCAACCGCCATCATAGATGATCATTATGAATTGTCAGCATGGAACCGTCACTTCGTGACTGATGCAGTCGCTGAAAAACCCTAAAAAGTCGTTGAAAAACTACAAAACCAATTATAATAAGACATGTGTCTTGAACATTAAATATACATGACGTATGTCTCGTTGATTCTGAATAAGACATTATGACGATCGGGAAAGACGGTAATAAATTCACAACATAAATACTTACCACTTCCCGAATATTCAGAAAGTGGGGCGACTACCTATTTTGGTAAAAAAAAAAGCATGACACGTCGACCATTATCAAGGTGATAAGTGACACTTTCAGTTAAGTAAATTAAAGGAATTGAAGAGGTACGAGCGGAACAACCCCGGTGATTCATCACAAAATGTACGTGCCTTGACAATACGAGATGGATGAAGACCACAAAATGAGAAGGTCCATGAATCTGTTATAAATAAGGAAGGGAAATCATCATTGATCGTGATTACGGAAAAGTCTTTAGTCATTAATGTAATCATTACAATTATATATGGTAATAGGCAATTAACGCCATTAACATGTGAGAATTAAGTAGAAAAATTGTTATAATTATGTACCATTATATAAGGACCCAATTCTGGGAGAGATTAGCGATCTACCATGAGCTTTCTTTCCTTACATATTATTTTTATTATTCTTTGAATTACAAGAAAGTAAAATAATTTTGGTTATTAATAATTCATTTTTTTTTTGATATTAACTTTGACCGATACATCTATTTTTGGGTTAAACAAAGCTAAGCTCTTACTTTCTCACTCATAATTCAAAGTAACTGGAAATAATAGAAAAATAGTCAAGTCAATCTTTACACGTTTGAAACATGACATGTGATTATACTAACTTACGTGTAGTCAGATAGGACAAAACGTGCAAGATTTCTAAATATTTGAAAGACTATTTAGTGTTTAATCTTATACATTATGGATGTTTTAAGTGAAAATCTAAATTTAATAATAGACAAATTTATATTTTATTGATAGATCCATTATGCTCTGTTGAACTTGATATGATGTACCATAAAAACTCGTAGAAATGACATCTATTTAGAAATTAACCGATGTATTTTGAATTTTAGTATTTCAGTTTAGTTAATCTATAATAGCATCCTAACAATGAATATTTGTGCAATTGTCGTTTAAATATAAGTAGCAAAAAACTATTTTTGAAAAAATAAAAGAAAATAAAGAAAGTCCCTCCTTCCGACACGGCTGCCGTTTCCACTTTCCGGGCTTTTCCTTCACTTTGGTCTTAAGAGTACTTTTCTTCTTAGGTTCCCTCTGGCGGGAAGAACAAAACACACACACACACACACACACACACTCTACTACTATGAGTTGGGTTACGGCGAAAAACGTAGTCGTTTCAGTTCCGCGTTGGCGGTCACTCTCCCTTTTCCTCCGTCCATCACTCCCACTTCGCCGCCGCTTCTTCTCTTACTCTTTACCTCCGCTGTAAGTCTTTTCTTGCCTAAAGTTTAATGCTTTTATGTACATACTCATGTGTGTGGAGGAGAAAGGTCACTAGTTGTTGGATTGCTTTTGGGTGGTGGTGGTGGTGGGGGTGGGATGGAGAAATCACCGTAGGCCCAGAGGCAAGGAGTTGTCATATAGTTTGAAAATGCTGTGCTTTTCCACTGCTATTCATGAATAATTTACTTTTTTACCAGACACGGAGTTCAAGAAAGAAACAAAGATTTGTGAAACCTGTTTTTAAACGTGTCATATATATTTGTGTGACTATAAATTAACTTTTACTTGCTGCACACCCTTTAAGAAATAATAAATAAAGTGCATAATTTACCATGATACCCATAATATTTGGTGTATAGTCTTAATACAATAACAACACCACAGGTGTGGTCTGGGGAGGTTAGAGTGTACGCAGATTTACCCCTACCTGGAGGGGTGTATAGTCTTAATGAATTTGAAAAATGATTTGGAATGATTAATTAATGCTGAGGTCAAAACAAGAAAAATAAATTATTTTTCTCTTTATATGCGAAAAGTGACAAGTAAAAATAAAAATTTATTTTTAGAATACTTGACAGGTAAAATTGAACGGATGGAGTATTTCATTAAGTATAAAAATGAGAAGTTTAAAATTAAATTGTTTCTAAATATAGAAGATGCCATTCTTTTTAGAATAGATGGAAATGGAAAGAGCGTCGCATAATTGGGACAAAAGGAGTATTACTTGTTTGTATTCTTTTCTGCGTGTTTATATTGGAAAGTTGAGTGAAGCCTATTAAGGAATTCAGATTTTCTTCCTCCTGAAGTTAAAAGATGACCAAATGCAGTGAGCTGTTTTAAAAAACAATTGGGCTTATTTTGAGTACGAGAAATGGGGATATGGAGGTTTTGAGCAGTGGCTCCATGTGTGCTCGTCAAGGTTGATGCTTTCGATCTTTCGTACCCGAAAGTTCATTTCTGTAATTGGATGTGAGAAAATTGAGTGAATTAGCTGTCATTCATTATGTCAAAAATGTTGGATTTCACTGTTTAAATTGGCATTTAGTCATGCTACTTTTCAGGTTAGGGCGGCATGTTCTGCCTAAGACTCCACCTTTTGCTATCACAGACCATATTAATTTTCTGGAGTGAAGATAGATCAAAAGCATGGGTGAAGGATAGTAATAGGAATTATAGTACTATTGATAGTCGGTGAACATTTCTACTGACGAATTATTTCAATAGCACGGTGTTGTGTCGCGAGGCACCATCATGGAAGCACTAGAAAAAGTAATGTATCTAGACCATCTGCTCTATCTGTTCGAGTAAGCTAGTTAAAAAAAAAGCTCCCATATAGACACAAGGGATGTTGGAGCTGCAAGAGGGTCCGTCCATCAAATGATAGGTTAGATAGATGGGCTTGTATGAAAAATTGACCCCGAGTTACCTAACGGAGATGTGCTTGAATAGGGGATTCATTGTCAAAAAGGACAGGCAGGAGTAGGACATTTGTACTAATCTTTTTGATCTGCTAGCTTGGTGGTCCTATCAATCTCATTTTGCCATTGAACTGTAAATGTGCTGTCTCATTCTAAGAACTCAAAAACTCTCTCTTTCTAATTAGAAAGAAAAGCTCATTTGTCAGTAATTCCCCCCCACAAAAAAAAAAAAGCCTTTGCTCTTCCTATTTGATGGGGCTACTGGAGAAGTAGCATTGTTTCTTGGCTTCTTTTTTTAGTGAAGCTTCTGTGTTCCTTAGCGTAGTTTCTTTTCCACAGGTTAAGACTCCATTTTTTATAGCCTAGTTTATATTACAGCTGACATGACTCCATACTCGATGCTTTATTTTTGTATAAGGGTAACTTCGTAACTTTGTTGCCTTAAAAAAGGGCAAGTAAAATAGGTATCAGTTATCACTCCTTGAGTAGTTGCTCACCACTGCTTTGTTCCTTCCATGTACACCATTTCTTTGTGAATGCTCTGCTTGCTTGTTATCGCTCTACTTCCGCTGACAACCAGTTTCAGATTCTTCTTGAGGCATCGTGGAAGTAGAGATTTGAATAAACTCTATTTTGGTGCTCAATGTTGCATGATAAAATAAGATAGACAAATACTATAAAAAGCTAATGGCTTTCTCTTCTTATATAATTGATTTCTTCCAGACGAAATCAGCATGTGATAGATTATCTAACCCCGTTCAATCCTTGCTACTAGTGGGGGTTTGGTTTTTCAGATAAAATCTTGCTCTTTAAGCGATGGGATTAGGAGCTTTGTCCTCCTTAGCTATAAAGCTCGAAACTTTCCTTTGGGTAGCAAACCTGGTGGTTCTGATGCTGTCTAGTTTGAGATTGATCCATTATTAGAGCCTGCCCCCGTCCTATTTTGGACAAGTTGTAGAAACTTTCTTGAAATTTGCATTTGGATCTTTAATCAGTTTGAGCCTTTGAGGCTGAATCACAGATAGAAACTGTACCTTGGTGCTCTTTAAATGGTCTATGGAAAGATATTTTTGAGGGCTGAATAAATAAAAGTAGAAAGTTTTAAGGTGTGAAGAGGATCAGAGTATTTTCTAGTAATTTTGATGGTAAACTGAGAACCATTAAATAGAGGAATAATCAGCCATTTATGGTTGATGGCACACACAGTGTTTGATCTACAGGTTGTTGTGAGTTGAACATATTTATATTTATGACTAAGAGAGTTCCTATTTATCATTCTACGCTTTGGGATAAGATAACCTCAGGCTTCATATGTTTTTTCTTTTGAGTTCAGTATTTCATAAAACTCTCATATCAACAACTGATGGCAAATTTCTGGATTCACATACTCTTTTTCCAATTTCTGTATTCACCCGCATAGTGTCAGGTGCCGAGAGCGGATATGCTGCTTGAAGGAGCGAAAGTTGTTTACCACAACCGCAAGAAAACTCAAACAACCAAAAGGTGTTCCAGAGGAAAAAGACTATGTTAACATTATGTGGTGGAAAGAGGTAGTTTACATTTCTCTTAATGACTGGGTTGATTGATAATTGCGAGATGCAAATCTATGATTCTTTTCCTTTTTTTAAACAAGTGTAAACAAGAGTTTAATTATGGTATAATGTTCTGCCACCATGACTTTATGTTTGTAGAGGATGGAATTCTTGAGAAAGCCTTCTTCTGTTCTACTGGTTAAGAGGCTAACATATTGTAACTTGCTCGGTGTGGCTACAAATTTGAGAAACGGAAGGTCAGTTCTTTCAAATTGTCTGTTTATCCTTCCTTTATGCAGTTTTTACATTAGTTTTTGTTCCAACTTAGAGAGGAGTTTAATCAAGGGTTCTGGGAGAATCTCTTTTTTTTTTTTGTGCTCCATAAAGCTCACCTACAGGTGTTAGTCCGTTAATCTAACATGTGTAGGTTTTCTGCATTACTTTGTTTATTCCTCTATGAATTGGAATCTGAAACTCTGCTGAGAAGAGTTTTAGATTTCTTTAAGATATCCTTGTCTTTCCTTGCTGATATTTTTTTTTGTATTTGCACATTCTTGGTCTAATATCCTCATATAGATATAATCCTGTCAGAAGTGAGTTGTTGACTTGTGAACTCCACAAAGTGCAAACTGCAGTATCTACGTATTTCAATATTTTTTAGCTGAATTTTCTGGCTATACTCACATGGACATAAATATATTAATAATAATGCGCTAAATGATGGTTAGGCTTTGCAAATTGCACAAAAAACCGTAACGATATTATTTCCTGTTTGACATGGCTTAGGGAATCCTGCTGAAAAGTAAAAGAATCCAGGCTGATCAAAAATTCGTCAAAAAGCATTTTGCAACAGATTTTTTGCTTTTTGGGTACCGTTCAAGTTCGACCGTACCAAGATAAATTTTTACAAACTAGTAACTGCCCGATCTACACACCGACAAGTAAAAATATACATATATACATATGCCTATGTCTCTGCTTGTCTATTATTTGTCCCATATTACTTAAATTTTTAACAAAGGCTACCTCGTATGTTTATCAGTCTTAAAGATGGAACACTTAACTGGGAGATGTTGCAGTTCAAGTCAAAATTTCCGCGTGAAGTTTTACTTTGCAGAGTATGATTTTACAGCTTTCATTTACTCTTCTTTTACATGTGCTTGAAAGTCACGTATCAGTTCCTCAATCTATGAGGACTCTACTCAAAGTCAATGATGAGTGCCTCTTGTTATTCTCTGACTTTCCAGGTGGGCGATTTTTATGAAGCAATTGGATTCGATGCTTGTATTCTTGTGGAATATGCTGGATTAAATCCATTTGGTGGCCTACGTTCAGATAGTATACCGAAAGCTGGTTGTCCAGTTGTGGTACTGGTTTCATTTTCTGTTTATATATATTTTCAATTTTCTCTTCTGTGAAAATCATAGATAGTTTAAAACAGGTAACTCCAAGAATTTGGAGGCCACTAGTTTTTGGCCCTCAGGAAAGGAAAGGTTGAATTAATTTTTCCGTTTAAAAAGTTTTTACATCACATATTTTGCATGAATGGACCTCCATGCTAACGTAGGTTTCAGAACTAATTTCTCTTCTGAACCAGATTTTGTTCCGTTAAGGATATCTTGTTTCTGACCATGTAGAAGCTGAGCTTGAAGCTGGATTTGTTTTCTTTACCTCTTTTAAAAGGGTAAAGAAGCTTTTAAATATATCTAAGCTGATAATATGCCAAAGAAATAGGGAGATCATTTGATTTTCTCATTTTTTTCCCCTTCCCTTTTTCCTTTTTAATTACTTTCAAGTATAAATGGCTCGTTCTTTTTGAAGTTTGTTGATGGAGAATCCCTTTTACTTATTCAGTTATCTTCCTACATAATAATGCTTGAGAAAACTGCCAGTAGAGTATGCTGAGTTCCTCCTGTATTCCTTACGTTGTTTTTTTAAGATAGACTTTTTGTTATTTGTTTACTCTTATTCTGTGTTCATACTCTCTCAGTTTCACTCTGTCTGTAAACTTTGTCAATTTTTTGTTCTTTCTGCAGAATCTAAGACAGACATTGGATGACCTCACACGTAATGGCTTCTCTGTGGTTTGTGCCATCCCCAAACATTCTGTTGGAACTTTCATTATCCTTTTTGTGTCCCTCTATATATTTTATACATGAGAGGATGGAATGGTAATTTTTACTGATATGTTTAATGAACTTGTAAGAGTTGGCTGGTCTCTACCTCACACAAGGTAGGGATAAGGTCTGCGTACACCCCACCCTCTCCAGATCCCACTTGTGGGATCATACTGGATATGTTGTTGTTTTAAGAGTTGGCTTTTTCTCTTAAAAGTGTTGTCTTTTACTAGTGAACTTATAAACTGATTAATTTCTTGAAGCACTAATTTCTAATGATGTTCTACCACTTGTCTTGATATCTTCTTACTTTATTCCCTCTATCTTTTTTCTACATATTACTTCCACAGCCTCTTTGTCAATCACTTTCTTTTAGTCATGCACAAAAACAGAAATAGTAATTTGTACAGCTGTGGCATGTTTGTATTTGTAGTGTGTCGTGGAGGAAGTTCAGGGTCCAACTCAAGCTCGTGCTCGTAAAAGCAGATTTATATCAGGGTAATTACTTGTGAATAGTTCAAGGTTTCTGATAAGTACAATTTCCTTTCTGGGTGATATTATACAGTTTTAAATGTTTGTATCTCTTGGATATTTCCATGTACAGTTGAATCTGATTAATGTCGATGATGCAAAAATATTAGTTGTGAGAAATGCGAATTAAGCTTTGGTTTATGCTATCATGCTGAAAAGCTTAACTCTTTTTCTGAAAAAAGAAGTTAAGCTTTTCAGCATGCTAGCATAAACCAAAGTATCTCAAATATTCATAAGACCATCATCACTGACTTTTTTATTTATTAGAAAACAATGCTGGACAGTCCTAACCTGTGGCAACTTACAATTGACTTGTTTTCAATATTTCAGGCATGCACATCCAGGCAGTCCCTATGTTTTTGGCCTTGTTGGAGATGATCAAGATCTTGATTTTCCAGAACCAATGCCTGTTGTTGGTATGTCAAAGCAAATTATTCTTGCATAGATTGGTTTCTCTTGCTATTTAGTATTGAAGCTAAATAATGGGGCATTTATGGAACCGATGTTTTTACGCAAATGATTTTGCAAGAACAGAGTCATTGATTCTAATTGTAAATTGTTTACTTCCAGGCCTGACGTCTTATCATTACCAGTATTCATAATGTTGCCCTTGTATTTATCAATATTTTCTTACCTGCCAATACACGTTCCAGCTTTACCACTACAACAACTACTACTCTCAATTCCAAGCTAATTAGAGTCGGTTATATGAATCATCACTATCTATTTTGCTCCATATGGACCCATTTCAATCCAAAATTTGATAATTCAGAGCTTTCCTACTCTAGAAGTTCTCTACATTTCTACTGACGAGTTGACTGCTGTTTGACCATTTAAGTTAAAAAGACTTTTTTTGGCTTGTTAGCATCTCATAGTTATTAGTTACAAAAAGATTAAGAAATTTCATTTGCAAATCACAAACTAAGAGTTCTTATTTGGTGGATACAGGAATATCCCGTTCAGCGAAGGGGTATTGCGTTATCTCAGTTTATGAGACTATGAAGACTTACTCTGTGGAGGATGGCCTAACTGAAGAAGCCTTAGTTACCAAGCTTCGTACTTGTCAATGCCATCATTTGTTTTTGCATAATTCATTGAGGAACAATACTTCAGGTTTGCAGATCTCTCTTTTTGTTTTTATCATTGCTAATTAGGGAGCAAAGTGGCTTATGTAAGGGATCTAATAGGCTAATACCCACATACTCGGACATTCTAATTTTAGCTGCATATATCTGTTTGGATATAATGTGGGTGAGGTTAAATTTTGAGATAGAGAGACCAGTTCACCGTGTCACTGCAGGAGAACAATTTGATTGGCCATTTTTATATGCTATCGCCACTTTGTTAGCCTGTACTTAAAATTTAGCCACAGTTCAATTTTTTTTACAAATATACCCACTTCTTCTTCCCACCAGTTTTATATAATTTCACTTCCAACTGCCTACTTGTCAATGTATGACAACCTACACTACTGATTCTACTAGCTAATCGACACAGAAAACCTGAATGGGTTACTTTCAATCTTTTTCTTATAGAGACAATTGGGGCACTTGAAGTATGGAGAAATATTCATGGGTGTTAGCAAAATTTGTGAAATGGCTGTGGAGATATAGTAGTTCAAATTTCAGAACTTACTCTATTTATATATTTTAATGGAGCAATTGCCACGTAATTACTTTCAATCTTTTTCTTATAGAGACAATTAGGGCACTTGAAGTAGCGAGAAATATTCATGTGAGTTAGCAAAATTTGTGAAATGGAGGTGGAGATATAGTAGTTCAAATTTCAGAATTTACTCTGTTTATATATGTAATTGTTATTCAGTCCTTCATTTTGCTGGAGGGTTTCCTCTCAGGAACATCACGTTGGGGGGAGTTTGGTGAAGGTGGACTTTTGTGGGGAGAATGTAATGCTAGACAGCACGAATGGTTGGATGGCAATCCTATTGATGAGCTTTTGTTCAAGGTTTGCTTCAGATCATTCATTTTTTGTGACACTACCTGTTACTTCAGTTTGAACTACATGAAAAGTAATGCAATTTCAGGTAAAAGAGCTTTATGGTCTCGATGATGACATTACATTTAGAAATGTCACTGTTGTTTCAGAAAATAGGCCCCGTCCTTTACACCTTGGAACCGCCACACAAATTGGTAATGCTTAAATTATTCATTTCAGTTGCATTTTGTCATTGTCTGGTGGTGTCACCCTAGGCTAAAACATCACTTTCTGGGGTTTGTTAACTTTAGGTGCTATTCCAACCGAAGGAATTCCATGTTTATTAAAGGTGTTGCTTCCTCCACACTGCAATGGTCTACCAGTTCTGTAAGTGAGCATCATTTTTCAGCAAACAACTGCNGTTAAGTTTAAGGAGGAAAAGGGTACATGGGGTTCAAAGAATTGATCTGTGGTCTGGGTGTTTTAGTTAGAAAAGAATAAAGAAATAATGTTCCTTTTTGTTTTCACTGCGGAATCTGTTTTTTCTTTAATCTGCCATAAAGTAATACTGATGATTTAAATTTTACATACTTGCATGGATGTGATCTCCTATATATTCTAGAGATTGCCTTGTGCCATACCACATAGCTCTTTGCCTAGTTTTGTGTAGCTCTGTTCCCACACTTGTAATTCTTCCTCCTTGCTCCATGGTAATAGCGACGAGTCAATCCTTTCTATTAAGCTGATTTTAAATTACGTGAACACTTGACGAGTAGCTTACTCCGTTGTTGTAAGCTGATTTTGTAGACTGCATCCATTGGATATGGGTTAGTGCTATATACTCATCATCCATGAATCGCCCAAAAGAGTTTTTCTATTCTTTATGTGGTTAGGGTAATACTTCAAGGAACACAGTTAAAACTTATATTTGTTACATCCCTCACTTCATCGATTAAGTAGACTCTATCCAAGCTACAAGAGAGCTGTAACCCCTAACAAACACAGACTGAAGTGGAGTATTCCTTCTGATTTTTGTTGCTTAATACATGCGACTAGTTTCACTTAGGCCTCATTTTAAACTGTACATCCCACTTAGTATTTCTTTAGAGAAAGTTTTCAGGTCAATAACTCCTCTTCTTTCAGCGGTTACGACCTGCCGAATACTGAATTTTGTTTGAATGCTACTTTGAAGTGATTATTTATTCTTCCTGGTAGTTAACATGTATCTTTTTTGTCTAACTTGTATCATTTTTTGGATTGTTCATTTACTTTTTATAATGTCCTTTTTAAATTTATTGTCGTTCTGGTATTCATGATGTCTGTGATATTATTTCTATCAGGTATGTTAGGGATCTTCTTTTAAATCCACCGGCCTATGAGATTGCTTCAAAACTTCAAGGTGAGAAATGCCTTGTGTAGATATTCGTGCATTCTCACTTGTTCATGGCGGCAATCATTTCACGAATTACTGCATGATAGATTTGATCAATTTTAAGGTCATATTTACAGCTTTAACTATGTTTTGTTGTCACATCATAGTGAGTGAAGCCCCCACTGTACTCTTTCTCTCACACATTGTTTAGGTCTTGATGATTGTAATGCTCTATATGATTCATGCATTTTATAATAATTCCTATTTCCTTGCTTAACCAAAGAATAAGAATCTTCTTTTCTCTTGAACAGGTGAACCTTACTAGTGGGGTTCTGCAAGTATGTTCTCTAAAAAGAGAGTTTTAATTAACTAATTGTTTTTTATCCTTCTTTTTTGTGCGTTAAATCCATGATAGTTAAAAAAGTTTGCCCCCCCCCTTTCAGTTTTCACGTGCAAATAACACATTGTAACAAACTTTTAATCTAATAAAGCTTTGGGATTTTGAAGAATTGTTTCTTTTATAAAGTGTTACTTTTCTAAGGTTTCCTATTTTTCAGTATACTCCTTGTATGCAGGCTCGCTTTTGCCCTTTCTTTAATGAAATTTATTACTTTATAAAAGAGAAGCATTACTTCATTGATCAGCGGGAAAGTCACTGTATGCATGTGGTATACTCAATGTGGAAAACTTACATAAAAACATGGTTCTCTACAAAAAGCATCCAATCATTTATGCTAATTTAAGGGCCTTATGTTATGGGTGTACCAAAAGTTTATAAAACAAAAAGTTTGTCCTATTTTGTAGAAAACTTATTGAAGATCATATTTTGCTGAAATTGTTCTCATATGTATGTTTAAAGCAAACATGTGGATGCTTTTCTCTGATATTCTCTATTGACTTATAAAAATCTATTACTACTAGTTCAGAAATAAAAGTTGACTCAATAAAGTCAACAGAAGCTCCATAGTTTCGCAGTTTAGTGAAGCTAAGATCTAGCTGTAAGCTTTGAGGTCCCATTGAGGTTGAGTTTTCTTAAAGCACAAGGGGTATCGGACTTTCAGCTAAGATCACAGAGGTTGAACAGTGGCTAATTTGCCCTAATTTGGGCAATGCCCAACTTGTTGACATTAGGACTTAGTCATGTCGGTACACTTACTCTAAGTCTGGGGTTTGCCACAAGTCTTTTTAGTTTGTTAAAGAGCTTTGTTAGGAAAAAGTGTAGAGAACCTCTAGTAACAGAGAAATCCTAATTTGTAAAAGACAAAAACTACGTATTAGAATGAAATGCTTCAAATGGAGCTAAGTTGAAGGATTCATAGAGCTGACCTCAATTAGTTTGGGATTGAGGCATAATTATTATTGTTTTCTTTTGCCCTGATGTGGAGAGGGGAGGGAAGGAGAGAGACTTGTTAACGTCAATGCAATTTCTAGAGGAGTCAAATATGGATTATATGTCCGTGCCTTCTTTTTTATCTTCACTGCCGATAACTGGCGCATTTAATTTTTATACACTAATATTTTCATTTGCTTTTGCAGAGGCATGCAAACTTATGATGAGTGTCACATGTTCAATTCCTGATTTTACTTGTATTTCATCTGCAAAGGTTGTACTTCAATATTCAATTTATTCCTTCTGCACAACTTATTTTCAGTAGATATGCAGATATTTCGCAATGAAGTTGTGTTCATTTGCTGTAACAAAATCTTGCATCTTAACTAGTAAACTTGGGTTGTTTTATTTTGGTAAGATTTCTTGCATGAAATAAGAGCCTACATAAGATGCTGATGCCTTTTGATTAAAAGTCCGAGGCTCTGTGATTTCAATGACTGCTCAGCCCTCTCTTTTCCCAGTTTAAAAGTGAATGAATTGGTAGCTAGTTAGAGCTTAATGTTGGAGTTTCCGAGGCCCTTTGTGCACCAAGATTATTTCGTCTGAATTCATCACATGTTTCTTGTTGCTTATTCGTCTTTGAGATTCAGAATAAGATTGGTTTCTCTTGTTGAGTTATTATCTCTGGACGAACTTTTCCTTGTTGTACCCTCTTTACTTTGATTGGTGTGAAACTTTTCCGTTATGAATAATGCAATAAAACTGATGATTGCAATGAATTTTTTGGATGTACCATGCTTTTTGGAGATACATTAAGTCCATTAATTCTGTCTACTTATTCTGAACTTGTCATCAGAATAGCAGCATTGATACTTCTGTCTACTATTCATTCCATAAGAAGTTGGATCTGGCATTATGTTATGTGTTTGGAGTTTCAAACCTTGTGCTAGGTAGGAAAACTTCAGCAGAGTGTAAAAAGAAGAAGCAAAAAACAAAAAAAAAATTCTCTCTTCCTGCTTTTCCTTCTCAAACAATTCTTAGCCTTCTATGCTTCAGTTTGTAAATGCTACTGTTGAGATTTTTTGTTGTCTATTTACAGCTGGTCAAGTTGCTTGAGTTGAGGGAGGCAAATCACGTAGAGTTCTGCAAAATAAAGAATGTGGTCGATGAAATACTGCAGATGTACAGAAATTCAGAGCTTCGTGCTATTTTAGAGTCACTGATGGATCCTACTTGGGTGGCAACTGGGTTAAAAGTCGATTTTGATACACTAGTAAGTGATGTTGGGGCTTCTATTCCACATCCAATTCTCACGTAGAGTTCCTGTACAGTATATAAATTATTGAGTGATGCTTAAAGAGCAATAGTCTTGTTTACTCCAGTTTGGGATAGATGGACAGGAATCATTCAGCCTTTTTTGTTGTTGCTTTTTGCATTGTATGAGCTTAGTAACTTTCTAGCAAGAATGTATCTTGTCATTTGAACGACTCTTGCATTAGGTTTTTAAATTTCTTTAAACATTGTAATAGCTCGTCTACCTTTTATACCTGGCAAGAACCTTTTATGTCAACTCTATTACAACTCTAGGTGATCGGTAGAAAGCTTAAATGTATGAAGATCATCAAAAGAATTGAAGGAATACAAAATCGTGATACTTCTTTTGGGGGACATACCCAATGGATCATAGCGTATACATAGGTTTAATAGCAATTAGAGGTTTGTAGTAATCCTTGAATATACTAGAATTGTAAACTTTGTTGATCATAGTTTAGCTTCCTGGTAAGAGACATGCACAGGCCTCTTGCTTTTTCTGTAAGTCTTTCTACTCAAGTAGGGTTTATGCCAATTTTACTTTTTGCCTCTTTAGTTAGGTACGTGCCCCGTGTGCTCTTCGTAGCTTCTCCGGTATTGACAAATTTGACTTAGATTTTGTTTTTGCCATTCTTGCAAAAGGCGCTTTGATATTAGATCTGATTAAGGTTAACCCGTTGTTACTTCAG